CTAGTAAAATGTTTATCAGGATATCAGCAACATTTTACTAGTTAGCCACTTTTTTATATCTTTCACAGAAAATGAGATATATAGGCTCAAAGTGAACGATCCGGGTGTCGTTCTATTAGAGGTTTTACGGTATTTCAAAGAATTTTTTGTCTCGATTGTTTTTAATGTTGTCAGGATACAAGAAGAGTACTCCACAAAATGATAATTCCACCCTCCATTTGTACTAAAACACCTATTTAGGTCAATATTCGTGAAAAATTGTCAACATGAAGAATAGGCTCTTTATGACGGCCACAGCTTCGAATGTTTGTATCAAAAAAATCTTTGATGTTTTTTTTGTGTGCAAAAAGTTTCCGGATTCAGTAATTTGAAATTTTTGTATTTCAATTTTTTATGTTTCATTAGTTTTGATCTACATTTCCAAAGTTGCGCGCGCACACCACCAAAATGTTTCTGACACCAAAAAAACGCGCGACAGTGATGTCTATAAATAGCCGAATTCCTCTCATTCGGCTACGCTCACCGTTCACAATGCGTTTTTTCCGTTTCCTTGTATTTCCTGTCATTGCGGGACTTTCCTCTGTCCTTGCTGCTCCAATCACCTCGAATGATACCGTCGATGGCAGTGGAGAAGCGCCGGAAACGTTGTTGCAGAACAGCGAAGAACAACCGCATCAAAGACGTTAGTTTATATTCTCCGCTAATTTTCAAAACTGTTAACTAATTTTCAGTGAAGTTCTATAACTGGGACTACAAGGATCTTGGAACAACAGCATTCGAGGATATCTCGTTCCCTGCTCGTCAACCGCCAGTTGCAGTCAATCAATCGGAGCAATGTCCTGACGGATGGCTTCGTTTCGCCGATTCCTGCTATTGGATCGAGACGGAGCTGATGGGTTTCGCTAAGGCAGAAAGAAAGTGTTTCGAGAAGCAATCAACATTGTTCGTGGCCAACTCTCTCGAAGAGTGGGACTCGATCCGTTCCCATTCAAAGGAAGCTTACTTCTCCTGGATTGGACTCGTCAGATTCACCCACTACGAAAAGTCCGAGCAGTTGCCAAGATGGCAAACCGAAGGAGCTATCAACCCAACTAAAATGTGTGTTGCAAACAAATTGTTTCTAAAACAAAACCAATGCTTTCAGGAACTGGCTGATCAAGCCGTACAAGCCAATTGTGAACGGATGGACTTCGTTTGCCAACTGCGCCGCTAGCTACAAGTCACCAGCCACCCTCGAATCTGCCTCGTACACATTCTTCTACCCATGTACCTACCTGCTCTACTCGATCTGCGAACGAAACTCGACCATTGTCAACGTGATGCAGTGAATTCATTAATGTACTTCTGCTATCAATCTAATCTTGTCATCAATTTCACACATTTCATCAATGATTTATCAGTTTACTGGTATACTTATGATGTATTTACATGTTTGAAAGCCAATCACTTGAACTGGCTCTGTATGTTTTGAAAATAAACAGTGAAAGAATCGCAACTCAAACGAGTTTTAAAAAACAAGTACGATATCGCTTCGAGACCCACTCCCTTATCCGTGCTTGCGCCTTTAAACTACTGTGACCTCTTACCCTATTTCCACGTCGGCTCCGCTTTGCCGGCGGCGCATCACCACTTCTGTTATTTTCATAGAACGAAATTCGTTCAACGAATCCAATTAACTGGATGGATTCCAACATAGTTTTTTCTGATGTAGTGCATGGTGATTGGACTGTTCATGATAAGTGAGTTTCTCGCTCACTCGCATTATTCATCTTACTTGCTTTCAGTGAAGTTGTCATCTCTTCCGAAGAGGTTCTTCCTGCTGTCACGAAAACTGAGGTTATCAGTGATGCTGAGAAGGTTTCTGGTGAAGAACAAAGCCATGAAAACGACGAAGTGATCGACATTGAAAGTCATAGCGACTTAGAAGATTTGGATAAGGTGAGTTGTAATTCAGTGAACTTGTTTCATGTCTAATTATTATCAAGCTAACCGGAAAGAAACAAAAACATAACGAGGTTTTTTGCTTGCCGTTCAATCAGGAAAACCCAGTAAGATACGGAGACCGCTCACATTGAGAGGAAAACATTTTCCGGAAAATGTGGGCGGAGCCTGTATTGCAAGCTGCTCACGGTTTTTTCGCACGATTTTTCTCATGACTTCATGCAAATTTACAAAAAAAACTGTGCGACAAAACAAGCACCGTCACTGACTCCGCCCACTTTTCTAACTAGCTAAGCTAACTCTAGACAAGACTGTTTTTGAGTTTCTAACTAATAGTGAGCGAAAAAACGAATATTGTATAGTTGAAAATAACGTTTAGTGTTCAGGAACCAACTAACAACATCCATGAGTCAATGCATCCAAGCTCGGCACCTATGCCACACGATCCGAATGTATACATGAGTCCGCAGTACTTCGAATCTGTTGTTCGGCAAGAACCTATCCCTCAGCAGTTTCTTTATTACCCTGGTGAGCTTAATTTTTAAACCAAATTGCTTGCAGTGCCTGTGGTTATTACAAAGAAGTCTACTGTGTCTTTGTTGTCTATTTTAGTTGAAAATTTAATTGACATGCCTTCCTGAATCTTGCTCTTTCTTCCGCTCTCTTCTTTTCCTCTTCCATTCCTTCACTATTATTCAAAGTCACATTTAATCAGAAAAAGCGAAAGAATTTTTGTTGGCATTCAAAAGAAAAGGACTTATTATTCTCCTTCTTTCTCCTCTTCTATCTTTCTAGTTTCCACTTTTTCTATTTTTCTTGCATGCGGTTTTTCGCGCTTTCACATCCATCTCACATCTTCTGTTTTCAGGCTTCGCTCATGGATACTCCGTTTCTTCTACGTACCACCAGGTGAAAATATGATTTATATTTTGTGAAATGTTGTTAAGTTTTCAGCCGTTCGTTTCAATGGTTCGTCAGAAGAAGACCAGTGCTCTCGCTACTGTTCTTGGGTACTCGCTACGACCTCCAGTTCCTGTTAGTGAAATCTGGTTATTCCTCGAAAGTTTGTGGGTTTTTTTTTGTTTCAGACCCAGCACATAGCTCAATCGCACATCGACTATGTTCCTAGGTACCCATTTGGATATGAGAACCAATATAGTCAGCAGGTGGATGTAAACTACGTAATACGCTTTCTGCTCTTCTCAATTTAACAATCAAATAGATTTTAGAACGAGCTCATCAACGAGGAACAAGATGTAAAAATCAGTTGCACTATATCAAAGTGAGTTTCTTTAAAACATTTCTGTCGTTTCATGTTGATATCTTCACAGGAATCCTCATGAAAACAAATCCACCCGGTTCGAAAACGTCGAGGAAAAAGGTAGAGTTATAATAGTTTTTCATAATGTTCTTAATCCTGGGTCCATAATTTCCTTTCGATACGCTGAAAAGCTGAATGAGAAGTTTCTGGTTGCATAAATGCAAATCGTTTCTCAAAAAATTAAAAAAATGAAAACTGCCGATGAAAGAACACTTGTAGTGATAAATGTTAGAAGAAGATTTTCTAATTCCAGGAATATGCATGACTAGAGTTCGCCAGAAAGGAAAAAAAAGAATTTGAAGGGAGAAAAAAAAGAAAATATTGAATGAAAAATTCAGTCAGAAAAAAATTGTACACGAAATGTGAGCTCTTGAGTGCTCAATAAAATGAGACTTGAAGCAAACAAGCGTTTTGGCTCGCCAGTTTTGCTCATTTTTTCTTCTTTTTTCACTCTTTTCTTTCCTTGCCCATTCACTTTTTCGTTTGAGCCTCAAACTGCACAAACGTGCTTTTTTTCCCAAAAATCATCGATTTATAGAAAACATGTGCTTTCAATCCAGACAATGAGGTTTCATGAATAACTGTTGAGGTTTCATGAATAACCGAAAATAACCCGTTTTCAAAACTCACGATTGAGATTAGAAAAATGGAAGAACAATCTCCAACTTGTTTATTGGGCGCTTTATAGGAAATTTAGTTTTTAAATCAGTTTTATCACGATTCATGTTATACGAAAAACGCAAAAAACAGTTTTTAAACTAGGTTGGAAGTTTACTAAATTTGCTAAGAATTTGAATAGTTATGTTCGTCGTGCATGTTTTTTCACTGCTTTTTTCTTATAAATCTCTTTCAGCTGCTTCTCCATCTTCATCATTTCCATTTACAGACTGTTGTCGAGAGAATGTGTCATGTATTCCATCTCGTCCCATTCCCAGCTTCGGTCTCTCTACTGAAGAAACTTCCAATGACTTTTCGACAGGAGCCAGCCATGGGAAGTCTAAGGTACAGTTGACGTCTACAATTAATTTTTGAACTTATTTTTTAATGGGAGAAGTATTCTCCTACATTGACATTGAATAAGATATGAGATTGTCTACTAGCTGGCATCATCCGTTCTTTCGGATCAATATTACCCAGCATTACTATTTTGTCAGTTAATGAATGTTTTTTTGCAGGAAGCTCGACAAAACCATCACATTGCGAGAGTAGCAGACTATGTTGACGGAGGCCTCTTGGACGGTGGTATTAGTAGACACCAGACTGACGAGGCGCTGGGGACGGACAACGGAGATACTGGCGCAATTGAAGTAGAGAGCGAAGACGAAAACGATGAGATTGTCGTTGTCGACGACGAGGTAAAAGAGAAAAGAAACGCAGAGAAAAAGATTGAACATTGCAGGGAGACATCGGCGCCGCTCCTACAACTGCTGTTAGCGATAAAGACGACGCTGAAGAAGCTGCCACGTCATCTGGTGACACTAAACATCAGAAAAGTCCACTCGAAAAACTTCTTCTGCAGCCTGTGAAAAAACGATTATATTCAGGTTAATTTTAAATATTCAAAAAATTCGAGAAATATTCTCCCGAGAATTGTTTCTGACACCTTTCAATGTAGTGGATTGTAGACATACCGTAGAAGAGCTGATTTGAGTATTCTTTCATTAGAAGGTTTAAAAGCCCATGTTTCATGTCGGGTTTTATGTATATAAATCTTATTCACCTCATAGTAAGCATGAATTATTGTGGTATCACATTCCCAGCCTAGTCAAAAACGATTTCGCTTTTCGGTAGTTGGAAAAGAATGATGCAGTGATTCGGTGCTTTGTTGGGTACTTAGTTTTTTTAGTTTAACATTCGTTTAACTGGGTATCTACATACATCTGTCCAATTTCTTGCTTTGTTTATTTACAACAGTTGCTGTCTCTTCCATATGCATATTCGAGCTGCTATCACTGTTGGCCACCCACATCAAACTGGCGCACATCTCAACATAAACAATATTACCAGTTGTACAAACTGTTCGTTTTTTCATCTGCGTTCCGCTTCCTTTCTCTGGCGGTAACCGTAGTTTTGGTGACGTTGGTCTTATAGTTTCGCGGCTACTGCTTTCTGTCCCACGTATACTTGTCGTCTTTCGTTTCCATCTCCGTCGTCTTCAACCCTTCTCGGTTCGTATCGATTTGACCCTCGTTTCGCCGGCCTCTTCTCCATTCCGTTCATTGCCATCGTCGGTTAGTCTGTCTTCGTCGTCGCCACTTTCCCGTTGCCGCGCCGCCCATGACTAGTCGTCGGAGGGGAATTGAGGGGGCAAACGAGGGACTCTCTCCTTTCTCGTATGTGCCACTCGCCCATCTATTTCGCCCCCGGAGGCCACCGCACTCGTCGTCGTCGTCGTCTTCGTTGTCGCCACCGCCACTTTCTTTCTTCCTCGGTTTCCCCTCGTTTTCACTCGCTTTCCATTCTACTTTTCCCATTCTTTTCCTCTCTATCTCTCTATTTTCCTCCCACCATACTCTTCCCATTCCCTCAGCAAGTCCCGTGGTACCGCTGGTAAAATGGAACCACCATATGAATAACGGATTCGCCCCTATAACGACAGTTTGTATTAACGTTGGACTAGTTATTGTTGAATCGAGAAGCAGCGGGCGTTGCCTTCCGTATGCTATATCCTTTATTGGTTTGGTGTCAAGTTCGATATATACATCCGGTTCTTATATTGAGAGTTCCATAGCCAAATTGGCTATTTGTCTATCCAAAATCATTCTGGAATTTCTCATAATTACAATTAGTGAACATTTCTTCTGAGCCTCATATCTCTAAGCAGAAATTGCTGTACCAATGGAGATTTTTTATTGGTTAAAGTTAGTTATAAGTCGTTTGATGCCTTAGTTTTTTCGTACTTCTTATGTGTTACCTAGTTTAATACCGTTTTCTCAGACATTAGTGTTGTGCATTCACATGCGTCAAACGAAAACAAGCATCGATACCACTATAGATCTTGTCAGAGTTTTAGTTTATTCCTTTCTTGCTCATTATATTAAACTACCAATTTCCTTCTGACAATTTTTCAGTCCCGAAGTTATGATCAATGTGATGGGAATAAGGCACAGGCAGAATTATTTCTATACTCTCAACCATTAAATTCGTTCACTCTACATTTCCTTCTCTTCCGTTCATCCATTGGTCCATTCCCATCATTCGCTTCGTCAGTTCATGCCTCTTTTCCATCCGAGCGACTCCTTCCCATCATCATGCGTGTTGTCAAGCTCACCCCCGTCGGAGCCGCGTTTCCCGTTTCCCTCCCTCTACACCATTGTACTAGAACACATACGTTGGAGGGAAGGCAGTTGATGTTAAGTATTCCGTAGAGAAGCAATCTCCATGAGGTCCATGATTTTTTTTTTGAAATTTCAAGACGTTTTTCTTGAAAATTGATGGAAGTGATTACATTTCCATCAAGTAACATTTTTCAAAAAATATTTTCTTCTTACTATTAGAAACTTTTTCGTATCGTCATTTCTGCACAGTTTTTCTTTTTTTGTATCAGTTGCAGAGTCGATGATTGAAAGTTCTCATATCTACCTGTTCGCTGTCGTAGTTCTTTTGTTTCTTCATAACCACATTCATTCTTATTCTTTTCTCAAACCGTGAACCTCAGATATCTGCGTCTCTAAATTCGCCCACTCTAACCTTCCATGCACTTTTTCGCTTTTCTGTCCCCGATCCTTCGGACGAGAGAGAAATGGCGCGCGCCCCTCGCTCCCCGCAGACATCTTTCAGACCCGGGAATCTTCCTCAAGAACACGCACATGCACACCCATCACATACACTCGCACACACTCGTCATGTGATGGGATAGAGGCGAAGATGGCTCCCTTTCTCCTAGTACATTTGATGCTTTCAGTTTAAGATTCTTCTTTTACGATATAGTTTCCAAAATACGATATTGTTCAATTTTTCAGAGTATCCACCGTTTGCCGTTGCTTTCAGTGCTATCGGGAATCCGCCACTGCCATCCGGTCAACATCCACCATCGCCTAAAAGGATGCAGTTTTATCAGCCTCCTGCCCAGCAGCATCTGGCTAGAAACACTCCCCCTCCTGGATTCGCGCAGGTAGCTTAAGCGAAAGTCAAAACAAATTATTATAATTGTTTTCAGCCATATGGTATGGGGATGCGTCCACACGAAGAAGAAACTCGCCAAATAATGAATTTGGATAGTCAACAGACGCATAACTCATCACCTACCTCATCTTGGTAAGTCAACATTTGTGAAAAATAAAACACCTGCTTGATCGAAAAAAAAAGAACTGATTTCTATTAATGAACATGTTCAACTTAGAAAGATGATAACACCTTTCTCAGTAGTGTACTGTTCGGCGTTTTTCTGAGGAAAAATAGTATCGGTGTTAGTTATGAACTTCCCCCTCGAATAGACAAGCATTATTACGGCATCTGGTTGGACGGGAAGAGGCTGATCCCCCTCATCGTCTCTGCTGTCGGAACCAAGCGATTATTGGATCTCGCGCGCCCAACCACACGCACTCACAAACTTGTTTCGGTTTTCGATCTTCTACTTGTTGGGCTGCTTGTCAGCAACTGCATAGTACGTTACCAAAACGTTGATGAAAGAGTGGGGGTTGTGATGTGATACGCCCAACATATTTGGATACAAAATTTTAAATTTAGGTTCGATTGGAATCAAAAAGCTTATACTGTGGGTAAAATGCTGTGTGATTTTATTTTTCACAAAAATAGCTCTTTCCTTCACTTCAGTCATAGATTCCTTGGTTTACTGGATGAACCGAAATGTGTAAGTACCTACACGTGCCCAAGCTTAACGATAGAATTGCTCTCTAAATACCATCTAGAAAACACGGGAAGCGGCAGTCGACGCCGCCGCGTTTGCGCTCCTATCGAGAGAGTCGTATTATATTGCAGACGCAGAGCGATCTCTCCGGAAATAGTGTAGAGGCGCAGGCAACGTATGACTGAATGGGTGGTTGAAGCAAATGCGGTTGTAGTGACGGACGGGCTTGGATGGACGAGCGACAAGAGAAGTACCGATGGTGTAGTGTTATACGAGCGAACGAGAGAAGAAGAGAAACGAATGAAGCCATCTCCTTCAACGCTTTCGTTCCCTCTTCCGATTCGCTTGTTTCGATAGGGGGACTCCATGCTTTGCTTTTAAAGTGTCCATGGGACCTTGACAAGTAGAAGGGGTGCTAATATGCGTGGCAATTTAAGAAACAAATGGAACTAATTAGCGGAATCAGTTTTCGGGGTGGAGATAATCAAATATAGAGGAAAAATTTTAATGACAGGATTCTAAATACTTGAAAATCTGTATGGGAAATTACTCGGATGGATGTTTATTTGACTTTTTTCAGGAATCAACCGTATCCAATGACAAATTTGAATGCCTATCAACAACGAGGCCCAAATATTTATGCTGCTCCAGTTCCTCCTCAAATGGTTCATCAGAACGGACCACCTGGTGTTGTTCCTACATCAAATCCATATTATCCAGCACCTGGACCTCCGCCATCCCATCACCATATTCAACCACAGGCACCGATGATGCCACCAGGAATGCATGGGCAACAACAACAACAGCAACCGTACTACAATACACAGTCTCCACTAACTGGTCCGTTTCTGAATCACTGTACTATCTATTACTGTAAGAGTTTTAGGGTCATCTGCATCTATGAACTATGGAAGTTCGCAGATGCCGGTACCTCCGCCAGCAACTAATGGTTCTACACCAATATTCAATTTCTCAAAACCAAGAAGTTCGAACGAAGGTTCATCAGCAAATGGTGGAGGTCATCGGAGAAAGAAGCACAATGACTTGGTTGGTTATCACCATATCCGAATTTCTGAATTTGAACTGTTATTTCAGAGCTCTCCTCGTTATAATAGCAATGGGAGCGAAGATGTCGATGGATCTATCTTCCCAGATATGTCAGATTTTCCACTTCTTGATGTTGTTCAATCAAAAGCCAAAAAAGATGCCGGTAGGAAACCGTGTCGTCCACACCTTTGCGAACAATCCAGAATGCTGATTTCACGTGTTTGCCATTTCCATAGGGAGTTTGTAAAAAGGTGAGCAGTCGAGGCATACTTGTTTTTTCATCAACCTAGACATCTGTGATGTCGTGGTCATCCGAATAGTAGTCTTGTGACAAGTTGTTGGCAATGCCATCGCGCTTGAGCGCAGCTTGACGAGTTCTGGTCTGTATGTGTGCGAAGAGCACGAAAGGAGGGGGGTGAGTGTGTGCTCTGTGAGCAGCACAAACAAGCTGCATTTGTCGTTAGTGGCCTTCAGCCTTCGTCGTCTTGGAGTGTCCGTCAAAGCCTGATGATTCTTGCGCACCCTCCAAGGTTCCCATGCTCTTTAGTCATGGCGCACGTCGCGGGCCGATTGGTTTCAGTGTCTCAAAACTGACATAGTCTCTTCTCGAGAAGGTGCTCTCTCATTTTTTTTCCCCAATGGCTCATCACCATCAGCAAACGTCTTCAACGTTTTCTGTAGTCAACACTATAAAATTTCACGGGAGGGGATCACAGAAAAGTGCAAACAACAAAAACAAGGAAAAATATATAAAGGACAGTCCTAGAGCATACTCAAAAATTTTCTTCCAGACTTCCTTCTCGTCATCCTCTCGCCAATTCACCATTTTCGAAGCCCGACCAATGGACCTCTCAAATTATGGGAATTTCATTAGCAACTGTACGGAAGTGTATTGATATGGCTGTAGATGAAGAAGTATTCACAAGGTGCACAGATAAGAATCTAGTGAATCTCACGGTAGGTGTTGTTTTTTTTCTCGTTTTCGACTACTTCGAAATTTTCCAGCCATCTGAAAGAGCCGAACGAGAAGAACTTCTTTCAAAGTTATCTACTGTTTTTGAAGATGAAAAGACACTTGGAGCAGGAACAGCTGGCATGACCATTGCAGAATATTCGCCGCGTCGATCATATTCGAACACTCTTGTTCGTCAATCAACCGATGACAAATCGTCGAATTCTTCATTTGCAAATGGAGCTGACTACGGCAGCAGTGAAACTACTCTGTTGAATCTTGATGATCACTCAAATCATTCTAAAGATTTCGCTTCCACACCAACAGCTGAATTGAACAATGGTGGCCAAATCTATGAAGAGCTTGGATCAATCGGCGGTGGGACCCAGGAGTCTGAAGATAAATCTACTCCAGCTGTTGAAACTCCCAAAAGAGGAAGACCGCGTAAAACTCCAGGAATGCCAGCTAAGTCGTCGAGCAAACAACATCAATCCCAGGAAGACAGTGAAATGTCTGAGGATGTAAGTCCGAATGCATATTTTATTCAGTAGAAACCTTGCGCTTTAAAGAAAGAGGAACATGAGAAGAAGACTGAAGACGAAGATGAGACTACCGAGGAGAGTGAGAAAAAGTCAGAAGAGACGGAGCAATTAGTCTTAGCTGCTGAGCGAGATGATGACGCGGCATCGAGCGAGGTATTGTTTTAACCACATAACAAAACGCATATAATTTATTTATAGGGAACAAATCGCAGTGAAACTGCCACTCCAGAGCCAGCTGCAGACACATCGGTAGCCAAAAAGACTCGTGCAGCAGCTAGACGAAAGAACACAAGAACGATTGAAGAAGAACTTCCAGCTGCGGCAAAGAAGAAGAGAGGATCGGTTACGGCTGCAACGGCTGGAGTTCCCGGGCTAGATGACGAAAATTCAGATCACAAAATGGTGACAAGGTAGATTTCTATTCCCGCATTCATTCCTTAGTTATGTCTCGGAATGTTTTTATTTTTAGAGCTAGAAGCCGTCAACCGTGATTTTGTGAAGTGTAGACGTTCCATTCTTCTTCAAATGCCTTTTCTTTCCAATTTATCTCTTTCGTGCCATGAGTGCCTCGATTGTTCTTGCTTTTTCTTGTCCTGTTTCATTGCATTCCTGTTAACTATACTCCCTGTCATCATCTTCACTTTCGCCCTACCTTCATTCCGCACCCAGTTGCTGCTTAATCTTAACTTGTTTGTCTGTACATTCATGATGTGGTCCTTTTCTACACTCTCTCCCCATGACTTTCTTTTTTTTTCAATTAAGTACCCATTCAAAAAGTCCCATCCCTACCCCTTCCCTACTCGGTTCCCCGGATTATTTGTTGTTTTTTAATGGAGATGTCTTCTTGAATATATTCTTTTTTCGCACTAACAGTTTTGGTTTTCGGGTTATACAGCTTTATCGCCCTTTCCCCCATTTTTTCTCTCGTTTAGTTTTAAAAGCATTTTTTTTCGGTATCCTCCAGCCTACTGTTATACAGTTCTCCTGTTTTACTCGCCCAGAATCTTTACCTCCATTTCCATTCCGAAACAACAAATGGTTTCTAAAAGTATTTATTTATTTATTAACCATCATTAAGTCCCCCCCCCCTACTCTTGTGAAATTTAATCTATACGAAACTTCGTTGTTTCATGAATAATAAATGGTAAAATGTAATTTTTGCAGATCAGCATTGAAAGTCACAAAAAATTCAATTAATGGAACCATCGTGTAAAGCAGCAGTTCAAACATGAACTGAAAAAAGAACCAATAATCGAAAATAGGCCACAGTACCGTTTTCCAGTATAACATCCGTATTTTGGAAAAGTCTCAAAACGACTAACTACCGTAACCTAAGAATGTTTTCATTTTCAGGATTTATTTTTTCGTTTTTAGCTGATTTTCGTCGATTCGATTCTGGAAAATCTGAAAATAGATATGTTCCAGGTTACTTAAGCCGCTTTCGACTCGGTTTTAGTCCTCCGAGAAAACAGTAATCGTATGAAGCTGTGGTATTCCAATGAATGAAAAATGAATTTGAACAAATATGGAATTCATTCGCTTTCAATAAAGCTCAGAGAACATCTGAAAACCCAAAGAACTATTTTATGATTTCAATTGAATTTTTCAAGGCTGTGCCTAGGAATGATGACTCTTTATTTGGACACTTTTGGAACGTCTTTTCCAAAATTTAGCTTCTACACAAGGGAAGAATTGATATCGCACTAAATGCAAACATACCGTAGAACCTCTAATAGAAGGTCCTTCTGAAGGTACCTTGGAAAATTGAAACATGGCACGGGAATTGGCACTGAGTAGAGGAATGAGAAAATAATAGAACAAAAATTGGTGCATCTGGTGTGTACCAAATCTAGAGCTAATTGTGACCAACTCCTAATATTTACTTTTTTGGTAATATCTTGGAGAAGTTGTAACTTTTTAAGTTCCTGATAAAATCATATAAAATTTATATCAAACTAAAGTACTGGAAATTTCCTACAATGTAACATAAATTTCGTTGAAATTGGTTGATAATTTCAGAAGTTATATCTAATTGAAATTTGCGATCAATTTATAATATTCACTTTTTTGGTCATCTATTGGAGAAGTTGTAATTTTTTCAGTCCTTTATGAATGTTTGGAATTATTTATTTTTGTACAGTACTGGACATTTCCTACAATTTGGTATAATTTTCTTGAGCATTGGTCAGTTATCTCAAAAGTAGTAGTCATTTGAAATTTGGAATTAATTCATATTAAGGCCTGATAGAAGACCGAACAGTCAACGTTCTTAATTATCTCAATTCCTGTGGAAGATATCGAAATTTTGTCAACTAATAAAATATTGCTGATATTATGATTAGAAAACTATCAGTTGTCAAATGTTTGATATTTTTCACAGGAATCGAGATAATTGAGCTCAAAGTTAACGGCTTGGGTGGTCTTTTTAGTCTAAATGGTATTCCCTCTATAAACCACATCGAATATGTTTGTTGATTTATCACCACTTTGGAAATTCACTGGGAAACGTACGAGTGAAATGTGATACTCTGGGAGTGTTTCTCCGAGAGAAACAGATGTATCAACTGATAACCACATGAATGTTGTTCCGTCACCAAACCTCTTTACACCTTTTCTCTTCCGACAAAATGTTTTTTCGGGTGACCAATCGGACCTCTCTGCCTGATGACATAAGAACGTTACGAAGTGATATATGAGCTGCATCATTGGGGTTTTCAGGTCCTATTTTTTCTCTCACTCGGATAATTAATCAGCTTGGCTCCTTTGTTATTTAAATCGAAAATTCTTAATTTTTCATTGAACCACTGTTTTCTATATTTTAATTAACTATCGAGTCAGTTAAATAGTTGAAAAAATTCAGAAATTCAGATATTTTTGAATTGACATATTTTTCAGTTGAAAATTGAACGTTCGAGGATATTTTTGAGACTTCAAAGGACCATAATTTTCAAATTCAATATGTCTCCAAGACAATTTTTTTCTGTCTTCAACGAACTGAATCAATACATGTGAAAAATCTACTTGTGTGTATTTTTATCCTCCACGGAAAATTTAAAGACTTATGGGGTTATGCACGTAATAAATTTGCAATAAAAATGGCGAATAAATACACAAAAATACTATGCAGATACGCAAATAAATTAATTTATTTGCATCCAAAAAACGAATTAAATTGCATTATCAGCCGTGAAAAAATTTTCTCTCGAAGATTTTTCATAAGATTTTTCTCGAGAAAAAACTTTGAGAGGAAATTTCCACGGCCAATAATTCAATTAAATTCGTTTTTTGGATGAAAATAAATTAATTTATTTGCGTATCTGCATAGTATTTTTGTGTATTTATTTGCCATTTTTATTGCAAATTTATTACGTGCATAACCCCATTATGTCGGATCATCTACAAATATTTAAAACACTTAAGCTTGATCTTAACATTTTAAATATGAACAAAGAAAGATTTCATGTAACACTTTTCGATTTTTCTCTTAAAATAAATCAAAAAATCATGATTTCGAATTTATAACTCGATCGATTTCAAACTAGGAATTTATACAAAATTGCAGAGCTAAAAAGCACAAAAACAACATCCCTCATTTTCACCTGTCTATAAATAATTACCGTAAACATTTTAATAGAAAGCCACACTACGATTGCACTTTGAACCTATACATCTCGGTTCCTGTGGCAGATATCAAAAGCATGTCTACTGATAACATATTTTTGATATTTTGACAAACATTTTACCAGTTGACAAATTTTTCATATCTCTTATATGAACCGAGATAACTTGACTAGAAGTGCATGTATAGCCGATAGGGTGGTCTTCTATTAGAGACTTTCTTAATTTCTGGGTCAAATTTCATCGACTATTTTAGAATTTCGGTTGACGGTACAGTTATGAAAGTTCGATCTGATTATATAAGTTCAGTGATCTGGTAATTCTGAAAACTAAGGTCGTATCGAATTTCTCAAAAAGCTTAAGAATTTTGAATTTCCCAAAAAAAACATTTCTTTTTCCGATTCCTTTCGGGTGACTTCCGAACGTTCATACCTATATTTCATTTTGAACTTTCAATATATAGTAGTAGCTCTTCTTCAACTCATCCTCATCTTCTACTTTTCCCTTTTTCTACTTCTTCTCGTGCGAAATTTGTCGCCGTCGGCGCATCTTTCCGCGAGTTAAATTGAAAAAAGGTTTTAGTTTGAAACGCTTTGATTGCATTTTTATTTTCCGTTTTCCTCTCTTTGAAGCTCTTTTTCTTTTTTTTCTTCAAAAAGGCCACAGTGTCTCCAGATGTTACTTATTTCATCCGGAATCTTTTTCAATCAGAGAAGCTAGATGATATAATCTAAGCTAACCATCAAATCTCATTTCCTCCGATTTTGGCGCAACTTTCGAACACATTTTCGAATGGTTTCAAGGACTCCCTTGTGATCTCTTTTGGATTCGAAATAATGGAATTCTTATGGAGTTTCCTAGTACTACTCATCATTCTGATTTTTTTCCTTTTTCTAGAAGCCAGTATACAATTTGACAATAACCCTAATAGTTTTAATGGAAGAGATACAGTAACCTTTGAATTAAAATGAGTTTCAAAATGTCTGAATCATCCAGAACTCCATTTCACAAGGTGTTAACCTCATTCTCCTCCCACCATTTTCCTTATTTCTCCCTTTTTGTGTCCATCTCTTGTTATGAGTGCAAAATAGTGAGTTGGAGAGGTTTCTTAATCAAATTTAACCAAAAGGAGAGTCCCTTTTGGAATGCTTCTCCATCTTCTACCGACCGGGCGGTCTCTAACTCAATTGGCAGGACATGCGCGTCCATTTTGCGTGGAATTATCAATGTGTTGTCCCACCATCATTACAGCCCAAAAGAGGCATAAGTCGCCCATGTTTCTTGTGTAATACGCATGTTTGATTAGTCAATTTGACACAGATCGAGTTCGTTTTTTTATGATATGGGAAGATATATTTTTTCCTGGAATTAACTAATGAATATTTTTGATGTACATAACTTCCTTTTTATTAAAGTTCTAAAAAACTTGATTATTCCACTGCTTCAGAAAAAAATTTAAATAACTTTTCGAATATACCAAATACTTATCGTAAACACTTTAATAGAACGCCATCCATAACTTTTAACATTATGTCGATTTCCATCGGTCCCTCTGAAAGATCTCAAAAAGTTGTCAAAATATTTTCAATATTATAACCTACATTTTGTCAGTTGACCACTTTTTTATATCTTTTACAGGAAATTAGATACATGGGCTCAAAGTTATAAGTATGGGATCCCTTTTTTAGTTTTCACGGCACCCAATACTTATTTTTCAAACAAAACTTTTTGAGAAGAAGTTTTTGGATTTTCCGAAAGATGTACCAGATCAACCTTCCTCTGTTCAGTATCGAAAATTGGAGAATGCTTTGTTTAAGAGTTTCCCCTTTGTAAACTACTCGCAGGGGAAGCATTTTAGGCCACACATAATATTTTTTCTTGCCGTTTTTGTCTAGGAGAAAAAGTCCCTGCTTTTTTGATACCAACCAGCTGCTCCCATGTCTTTCATTTTCCCCGATTCCTTTACCGATTTTACGACCCATTTCGGTTTTCTAACATAATCCGGCTCTCTCCCTCTCTCTCCTTCATTTCCTAATTGTTCCGTCTGATTTTTACCGCCCTTTCCCTATTTTATTTCTGTTTCCCACTGTCCTTTTTTTCTATTCAAACTGGTGGTTTTTCCTTTTCCTGCTCATCTTCTTTTTTTTCCTTTCACCCGCAATCGGCTCATCCCTGTTGTTTCCCACATTCGTCGGAAACAAGTAATTACACTTTTTACTCCCGTTTTTCCCCATTTAGTAGTAGGTGGTCTTTTAAAAAGGCTCTAATGTTTTTCGGGGTAGATTCTTTTTATGAGGGTCCCTCTTGCAACACTTTTAGGATAAAAATTAGTTGGAAGAAGAGAAAAGAGAGAAATGGAGAAAGGAAGTTGAAATGGACGCGCAAACAGTGAATTGTACTTCCGATTGATGGCGAGCCTCTCTTCGAGAATTCTGGAGAAGAATGAGAAATGCATTGTTGGGATGACGTTGTGGCGGCAGAAGATAAAGATATCTCTAGAAGGATTCTTGCAACATCAGTTTCCTTCCTTCATTCTTCAGTCACTTTGATTCTAAATTTAGGAAGAAGACGAGTTTCTATATTTTTAACCCTAGAATATTTGAATTAGCTGTAAAAATCCGTTAAGCACAATGTTCAGTAGTACTTGAAAGTTATGTTTCATGCTGCTCTAAAAATGTTCTTAAAATTTTAGTTTCCTCGAATAAGGTACCGTAAACACTCTAATAGTTTGAGCGCATATATCTAACTTCCTGCGAAAGATATCTAAAAGTAGTCAACGGATAAAATGTTTATCATAGTATCAAAAATATTTTGTCAGTTGACCATTGTTTGATATCTTCTGCAGGGAATGAGATATATGAGCTCAAAGTTACGGTATACGAGGCGTTCCATTCTAGTGTTTTGATGATTCTCTGAAACTGTTTTCAAATTTTTTGTTTCCTCGAATGAACTCTTGGGTATCACTCATTATCGTATACCCCAAAGATCCATGCAGTTTAGAGCTGAAACCAATTCAGTTTCTTTTCCATTCCATTCTTTGTTCTTCTTGTCAACAAAATGTTTATTTATTTGGGAAAAACCCACTCAAAATAGTTTCATCGTCCACCACCACCATCAGCGTTTAAAAGAAACTAGAATAGCAGATGATAGTGTATCTTCTTTTTTCTTCATACACATCACCATCTCTGCCATCTTCAGTCATCGTCTTCCTGTAGCCTATGTCTGCGTCTCTTTGTCTTACACATTCTCTCACTTCCTGATTGGCTCGATTGTCCCCTTCGGAGGGGCGAACAAGAGATTTTCGCGCAGTTACTGGATGTGACTTCGTGGACCAAAAAATGGATGGGAGTCCGATGTTTTCGTTTACTTTGTACTTCTTGTTTATATTTTCAAAACTTTTTGAATCGAGTTTGCAGAATTTGTTATTTTGGATCCACACTTAACTATTCTATATTTAAACTCATATGTATCTATTTACTGTTCTTTTTTTCATGAAACCTAATGACTCTGAATATACCATTCCTTCCTGGCACTTCGAACAGACGGGCTCTAATTTCTTTGAAAGATTTGCATCTCATTGACATTCTCCTCCCGGTCTTCCCCCATAATCATCTTGTCTCCTCCTCCGCTTTCGACTCCGCCCCCCCCCCCCCCCCCAATCATTCTCATTATTGTATTATTTTAGATCGTTCTCTATTGGTACCTTCTAGAATGCTTCATCACGCCCCAGCACGTCTTTCAGTATATTAGAGAGAATTCAAAATGCGTTTAGTGATTTGTAATTTCTTACTAGTCGCTCAGGTTCTAGCGGCACAGAAGAGTAGTATTGGCAAGTTCTTTGGCGAAAGATTAAAATTCAAAAACTCAAATTTAGGTCCGCCGAAACTTCGGGATCAATCAGAAGAAGAAGTCTGGTATCATTTAGATGATGATGATCTCAAAAATAGATTGACATTGAAATGCGATGCAGATGAGAATACTGACAGGTGGGTGGAAACATATCATCCTTCGATTCCGATCCTATTACAGATACTCCTGGTTGAAAGACGGAGAGCCATTCGAAATTAATTCAGATGATGTTGTGTGGCAAAAAGAAAGCCAATCTGGGTCAATTGTTTTTATGAAACCCCACATCAGCCATCAAGGGTTAGTATTTTTCTCAATTTTCGAAGTTTGTAACTATCAAACTTCTCCAGATACTATCAATGCTTTGCATCAAACATTTTTGGAACTGCTCTCTCAAATAAAATGCATTTGAGACTTGGATGTGAGTTATAGCAAAAACAAACCGAGTGAGAAAATAATTAATACGTTTGTTTGGATCGGTTGAATGAGCATTCAAGTGTTCCCCCTCCTCATGTTCTTTTTGCCATTCCGTAGGTGCTAATTAGTGAAAAAGTGGAATGATTCTATTAATATGATGACCACATGTTGATGATGAGGGGAAAATAGGACTCTGCTAAGTAAATATTTCCTATTCAGCTCTGGAACATTTTCCAAAACGGGAAATTCAAATTCTGAAAATCAAAGAAGGCGAATCATTGACACTGAATTGCACTCCACCCCGTGGGATCCCGCCTCCCAAAATTATTTGGCTGTATAGGTTACCATACGAATGCAACTGTTAATAACATCAATGTATTCATTCAGATCTTTGGACGATTCGTCAGTAATTGAAACGATTAGAAGCCGTCATATAACAGTTGATAACAATGGACGTCTTCATTTCTCATCCGTTGAGCTCTCTGATGGAAAACCAACGTTGGTTTACGAGTGCGCAGCTACTTCTCCAATATTAAGAGGAGAATATAGATCAGGAGATAGAGTGCAATTAGATATTGAACCCAGCCAAGATAAATCTTACCCGGTCAAAAAACTATCAGTGAGTCCAAGTGAAGTAACAGTCCGAGCTGGAGGCCAACTGAAACTTCAATGCGTTTTTGGAGGAAGACCTCTTCCTACAATTTTCTGGTCGAAGGTCGATGGAGAACTTCCGAAATCACGAATCAAAGATTTAACAACTCATGAAAGTGATTTCGGTCGCTCTTTAATTGTGGAAAATGTGCATCCAGATGATGCAGGCGTCTATGAATGTCGAGGAAGACATTTGGTGCATACAGTCAATGTTCGAGTCATGGGTTAGTTTTTTTTTTCGTACTGTGGTCCAATACAAGTAAAATTTTAGCTGCTCCGTTTTGGGAATTCGAGCCTCCACGGGATATTTCGCTACCGGAAGAAAGTACTGGAGAGCTTGAGTGTCTAGCTGGAGGACAACCAACACCGATTATCACATGGAGTATGAATGGAAAGTTCCTTCATGAACTTGCGGAAGATTCAAGAAGAGTTCTTCTGGATCATGGAAGAATTCTTAGAGTTCGAAGTTTGAATCATGATTTGGACACTGGAGTGTATCAATGCAATGCTAGTAATCCTTTAGGATATGTTTTTGCAAATGCTTTCGTTCATGTCAGAGGTCTATCTAATTTCTATTCAGCAATCTTTAGAACTTTTCATTTCAGCACATGCTCCATTTTTCCGTATGCCTGCTGCTCGCCACTGGAAAGTTGTCCTGCATTCTACAGTAATTCTCGATTGCGACGTGGATGCAGCTCCAGAGGCAATCGTTCGATGGGTAGACGCCGATGATAGACCACTTCAAGTAGTAGAAGGAAAAAATAAGGTTAGAAATTAAGAAAATATTTATGCTCAGAAGTTATTTAAGATTGAAAAAGTTTATAAAAGGTGTCGCAGAAGTGTGAAAAGGAAGGTAGAATGGAGAAGTATCTGCGTAGCTGATTCTGCAAAACATAGTATTTCGAAAATAAATAATCTGAAAATAACAAACGAGAACATTCCACTCGAACCAAAACGCCTTTTGTTGTATCCGTCGGAGCTCTCTGGTATTCCACTGTAACTTTTTGCCCCTTCATAGACTTCGTTAATCTCTCCAAGGGCTGCTTTTCAAATATTTCACTTCCGGCTCCATGTAGCCCATCATACGAGACTTTCAACGAACTGCCTTCCCCGATTTCTCCAAACATCTGAAATTCAATGCAAGTCTCTATAGCTATCAGTAATCATTCTTACCTGAATGTCAAACTCAGAATCTGGTTCAGTTGCGTTGAAAATATGTTTAAACGAGGTTGACTCATTTCGTAACATGTAATTTCGCGACATTCCTAGCGACCAATCAGACCACTTCATTGGAACAACCATATAGTCCGATACTGAAAATAAGGCTAGTTCTTTCCTTTTCGAGACACAACTAACATTCTTTGCCTGCCGCTGTAAATTCAAATGCGGATCCTGGGAAAAGAGCCAATTGTTTATGAAAAGTGAGTACTGGCTCTACAAAATGGAGAGGAGATTCAGTGAGAGCAGCGTCTTTCCTGAATTCCTCAAGGTAAAAACTATTCGATTTCTGATCTCACCCGATATCATGAATTGTAAAATTAGTGCTTCTAGTCTCCTCAAGACCACCAGCGGTTACTGTAAGAGCGGCTAACTGAAAATTAGGAAATTTTTTAAGTTTGACCGTTTCCTGTCAAATCACTCCATCAATAAAATGAATGTTGGATATCCTAACAGCTCCTGTAGGATTCAATAGCGTCACATATTGCTTCTCAATATTGTCGGAACGAACAAAAACGATTATTTTCTGATGTTGATCACTTTCGTAGACATTACTGACTGAAATCACGTCAATAGAGCAACAAACTTCTAAATGTAGACCTACAATGCTTGTCATCAGAAGCCGATAAAAAATAAATAATTCCTGGATTCTTTGTGGTTGATCTAACCGAATTGTTGTTTCGGATGGCGATTCGATTGAGCAAGGGTACAAATAAAGGTGTTTTTTCTCCAGTATCTTTATTCACTTTTCCTCCAACTTCGCTCATTTTTCGGAAGTCTCCATCAACACCGGAAAACAGAATATGAATATTCTCTTCATATTCAGCTGCTCCTGTATCTCTTGAAGATGTTACATAAACCTGCAAAAGTACTGTAAACTCTCTTCTAGAGTGTCCCCCAAACAGTCAATTTTGAGCGCAATCATCTTGATTCCTGTGAAAGATCTAAGAAGTTTGTCAACTGATAAATTGCTTGTCATAAAATCACCAATACTTCATCAGTTAACAAATTTTTGATATCTTTTACAGGAATCGAGATAATTGAGCTCAATGTGGCTTGGGTGGGCGCCTATTACAGGAAATACGGCTGTCAACCCCAAAATTGTGTTTTTTACCTTTGCTCCTCTCACAAATTCGAATAGAGTAGTTTCTCCAGGAGGCAAATCATTAACAAATACGATTCTACTGAGAGGTTCCGATGGAGTTACCACTGGCCGTGTAGTTTCTGGATCTTCTGGGTAATCGACAGGATCCGAAAACACCTGTGTAGCCACCAGGACTAGAACATAAAACAGAACCGGCAATAAGTCTGAAATTATAATTCAAAAGAAACACAGAAAGAGGAAATATAACCTACCAGGCTTTCCCATAGTGTAGCAAACGTTCATGACTGATTTTGTTATCAGCTGAAGGCTCTTTTTCAACCAAAAATGTTGTTATTGTATTGTTTTGCCGTATTTATAAGTGTCACAATGAACACTCATCTATTCAAATATTTTTGAAACCTTTTTTGATTATCTTAAAAAAACAATTTCTATTTTCAGCTCTTCCCCAATCACACATTCATGATCTATGATGTAAATAGTGCAGACGAGGGATTGTATTACTGTAATGTGAGCAATAAGTATGGAATCAATCGAGCAACTAATCGACTTCAAGTTTTCAGTGAGTGTTTTTTGAGATTTTATTTACCCGATTATTATTTTTTAGAGCCCACATACTTTGTTCGTATTCCAACCCCAAAAAGATTGATTTTGGAAGCGGGAGAAACTGCAGAAGTATTCTGTGAAGCTGTCGCAGATCCACGACTTCCGATTAAATATCAATGGACCATAAACGGAAAAGTTTTAACCGAATCGAAATATTATGAGTATGAAAAGAATCAATTCTGGTCCCCAAAAAACAGGAAATTTCAGGATTCTCCCGGATCGACTAAGGTTCCGATCAGTTCGAGGACGTCACTCAGGAATCATTGATTGCGCTGCTATCACTGATGTTGATGTGAAATTGGCATCGATGCAGCTGATTGTGAAGGATGTTCCCGCCCATCCAGTTGTTGAAGCTGCTCATTGTTCTGAAAGGAAGGCAACAATCAAATGGGTTGCGGCATCAGATCATGGAGATTCGATCAAAAAATATATTGTTGAGATGTTCACTGATTTCAAGAAAGTAAGATTTAAAAAAAGAAAGATTATCCTGATAGATGATTTCAGAATGAATGGGAAGTGATAAATGAGGAAGTGAATGTAAACAAGGAAAACTTTGAAGTGGACATCACTCTGACTCCATGGGTCAATTACACATTCCGGGTCGTTGCCGTGAATTCTCACGGAAGATCTGATATGAAAATTGATGGACAATCAAAAGAAGATTGGCTTACTTGTCAGACCCGTCCATCGTTTCCATACACAAATCCAACAGGAGTCAAAGGAGAAGGAACAGAGCCTGATAACCTTGTGATCTCTTGGAAACCACTGGATCGATACTACTGGAATGCACCGAATATGCAATATTTGGTCAGGTATAAACTCGATGAACCAATTCATGGATGGACTGAGTTTCTTGTCGAAGACTCGTTGGCGGTAAATACATTCAAAAGTTCATATTTTGATATTTAAATTTATGTTTAGAATTTCACAATAATCAGAGATCAACCAACATTTCGAAAGTATCTGATTCAAGTGCAATCTGTTAATTCAGTTGGTCCAAGTATAGTGGAGCCGGAGATACATCATGGATGGTCCGGAGAAGATGGCACGTGCTTTAGAACTTCATTGTTAGTTTTTCAATTTGATTTTCAGTTCCCGATGAGGCGCCTCGTGATTTCCGAATCGATACCCAAATCAATTTTACTACAATCAATTTCACCTGGAATCCAGTTCATGAAAACATTGTGAATGGACATTTTGTTGGTTATGAAATCGAATATTGGAAAACAGAAAACACAGTTAGAAAGTATTCAATCAAGATTCCAGCTAACTCGACTTACAAAGTATTTTTTTTCATATTTGAGGATAAACTATATTTCTCTCTTTCAGATCATAAACTCATTCCACGCTGTCACTAACTACAGTGCACACATTAGAACACGAAACAAGAGACTTCGAAGTGCCCCGAGTCTTCCTGTATCATTCGCAATGCCAGAAGGACGTGAGTTATCAACTCTTCTAAGCATACCGTAAACCTGTATTAGAAGGGTCCCTTTAATAATAGGGCCATATTTAGTGGAAGGGAAAAATCAAAAACTTACTCAATTTTGGTGAAATTGTTAGAATTGTCTTGAATTTCAAACACAAATTCATAGATTTTTAAAATTTAAATTTTCGGAAACAAATGAGCGAAAAATAGGAGGGCCCCTCTAATTGAAGGTCCCCTGTATAAGTAGGGTCCTCCAAAAGTATCTTGAAACAATATAAGATCAGGGCCTTCTAATAGAAATCTTACATCATATTTAAGACACTCCATTGTTTTTCAGCCCCTGGAAAAGTTCACAATCTTCGTGTTTATTCCGTTGGATCGACTGCAATTCTTCTTCAATGGGATGCTCCTTTGCAACCAAACGGAAGAATAAGAGGATATTTTATCTCTTTCCAAAATGATAAAAGTGAGTTAGCAGGCGTCTTATCAATAATCTTCTTTTGTTTTTCGTTACATCACCTTGCTTAAATTTAAACGAAAAAAAAAATGGAAGTATGAATAATAGAATGTAGCGGTTCGTTGATTTTTGCACCTTCTTTATTTCTTCTGCGTTTCCCTAATCGTTTTCCAGATGAATAATTTTCAGATGAAACCGAAGAAACGTACGTCATTCATCGACAAAAATACTACCTACATGAGAAAAGTGAACCTGATACCGGATATAAAGTAACCGTTTGGGCAGAAACCAGAGCTGGAGAAGGGCCGACGACGTTGAGACCTGTGAGGACGTGGCCACCGAGAAGTGAGTATTCTGAATCCCTCAAAATTCTAAAAAGACTCTGAAATTCAAGTCACATGTTTCCTATTCTGAAAAACAAGAATTGATTTTAATCAAACCTTAAATTCCCCGAATTTTCAGTTCCGGATGCTCCTACTTTCCGAGTCAAAAACATCTCATTAGACTCATTTGTCGTCGAGTGGCTTCCCAATAATCACAGTGTTTGGAAGATGCCCGGAGCCGCGTTCTTCGTCAATTACACTGCTGAAAGTTCTAACACGTGGCACCAATCGGAAATCATTTATCTTCCGAACACAGAGATCTTACTGAGAAGTGAGCATCTTTTTGGATATGTATTGCTTGTAAATAAAACAGTTTTCAGATTTAAAAGAAGATCAAAAGTATTTCATCCAAGGAATTGCTAAAGATGGTCCAAGACAGTGTGAATCTGTATTCCTTCCAATAAAAACATTAAATCGAGATTATGCAAATCGATTGAAAGAAGATTCGTTGAGAAGTGCCGCTTGGTTTATTGCAGTTTTGGGAGTTTTGGGAATCGGTTTATTCACGATTTGCCTCACTTTTTGTTGTGGAAACAAGAACCGACAAGACAAATTTGCAGTCAGGAGAAAGGTTAATTTATTTATCTTCACAGGGTGGCGCATAATTGCCCGGACTCAAACTTGTATTAGTGTAAAATTTGATTAAAATTACTCATCAGTAAACTGGCCAAGTTTTCCGTTCTTGAGCTGAGTTATCCTTTCTCAAAGTTGTTTTAACTCATGAAAATCACAAGCAAGAAAAATTACTCCGTTTATCTTCGTATAATCATATCTATACTTAGACTTGAGGATTCGCTTTGAAAATTTCAGTAGCTTTGAATCAAACTTAAAATTAGATTTCTGCCAATTTTCGTGTTTCCATGATACTTATTTCGAAAGATATACCCGTTTCATCAGTCTGAAAAATTGTCCGCCACCCTGTAACGACACGGTTTCCAATTTGATACTATATTTGACTGAACTTTGCCCAATACATAATTCGTTTTTTTCTGCAAAAAACTGCACTTTCCGCTTCAACAGTTACACTTTCAAAAGAGGTTCCTGGACTGTAACGACCTTTTCTTGCAAAACTGCAAATTATATTTTTTCAGGAAATCGAAATCGGACATCAGCAAGATAACGAAGAAGAAAAGCAGTTTCTCGAGTATCAATATGGGTTTAAAAATTAATTTTTTCCGTTTGTGGAAGAAGAAGAAATCAGTTTTACAATATTTATTTACTTTTTTGTTTTATACATAAAATGTTTGAGATTTGAAAGAACTATGGAACTCGTTTGAAAACACCCGAGCATTATTTTTTAATGTTTTGGCATTGTGGGGAACAAGATCGGAGCTAGAAACAAATGATATGATTGGGGGGAAAAAGTAGAAAACGAAATAGAGACAAATTTCAAAAGTGTGGTTTTTGGAAGAATAATCTTTTGAGAGCAATTCTGAAATCGCGGGAGAAGGCAGCGTAAAGGATTGGATTGACTGCCGAATTAGAATATCCCAACCAGAAAGCAGTGGTGAAAAGTGAAGTTGGAATGCATCCAGCAGCTACAGTACAAAAAGAATACGCTTGAAGAACATAGATAGTGGTGAATGGAATCCAACAAACAATAAAAGCAGCCACAACGATTCCAGTAGTACGAGCAACTCGCATTTCGGTTCGAATAGATCGTCTCATGCACTTCTTTCTGAAAAAGAGGAAGTTAGATTAAGGAAAAAAGAATATGATCAAAAATAGGGAGATCACACATTTCGAGCAGTGATTGGGAAAATTTCAGTGAAATAAGTTTACTCATAATTTACAAATTTTTAGTGAGTGCTCAGAGTAGCGTGATAAAAAATGGAAGTCATCATACGGAAACCCGAATTAGGCGATAGTTTCAAGCGAAATTTGAGATTCAGGAATAAATAGTCTTCCGAATTTATTGTTAAAAATATAAAGTTACTGAATGAACAAAAAGGTTTAAAAACGACAAGAGTACGGTATGCAAATGAGGAGACACTTTTTTGATAGATTTGCAAAAACAAAAGCTTATTGTAACAGTATGCCACTCGTCTCTCTTGGAACTATAAACATACCTGGGGGTTCGATTCGGTGACCGAACCATGCTTCTTCTCCACCATCTGTTTAGATTTGGTTTAGTTTTGAGATTTTATTTTTTTTTCTATAAAAAATAAGAGAAAAACTAACTGTGTGATGTGGTTGATGATATTGGTCTTTTTGGCTTCCAAAACTCCAAAAACCACAGTGTGCGTGAGAAAAGAGCGAATTGCGGGTGCATCGACGGAATTCTTGTGCTTTTCAACGACTGCAGCCACGACAGGAATCGGGTCAATGACTTCTTTTGATGGAGATCCCACGCCTTCATCCTCTTGACTCAATCGAGTTTCGTATCTCTCGAGTTTCTGAAAACCACGAGGCTGATTTGTTAATAATCTCAGGGCTCACCTTCACTGGAACGATTGGTTCCTTTCTTCTGTGAACTCTCAATGACCCATTCTTGGACTTTACAGTCATTGTTCTCGAAGTGTGAAGGACTGTTTGAAATATTCTGACATTCAGAATAACCATCACAAATGCAGGAACAATGAATGAAGCCATTGCCGAGAATATAATATACATTGATGGCAGAGTCGTCGGCTGACATTCTTTTGATGGTATCGAGTCATGAGCATTTAGAGTTTCAAGTAAAAAGAGGATGACTGCGAGAAGAAGAGAACAGAACCACACGAGGAACGTCATCAGACGGACTACTCTGAAAAGAAAAATGATTGGTTTGATACTGTGAGGAAACGATTCTTCTCTTCAGAGGAAACGTACTTTGTGGAGGAGATGATTGGGTATTTGATCGGCTGACGAACAGCCATATATCTGTCGAATGAAATCGCAAGAAGGTTATAAATGGAGGCAGTTGAGAGAAATACATCCACTGAAAGCCACAGTCGGCATCCCACATGTCCGAAAATCCATTCATTGGAATGCTCCTGAAATTGATTTAACATTGTTTCTACATCACATGGAACGTCACATGATCTTCAACCATGTTATTCCATATTTTTCAAACGAAGCTCATATTATAATATTTTTCATCTTCTCCCTCTTCGTCTCTCTGATGTTATCTCAGCCTATTTTTTTGGTACACCCACCTGAATTATAGCAAATGGAAGAATGAGAATTCCAAGAAGTAGATCACTGATTGTCAGTGATAACACCAAATGATTCGTGGATGTTTGAAGTGATTTCTTCGTCAGAATCACATAGAAAACCAATAAATTACCAATGACAACAAAACAATTGACGACGCTCAGCGTCAACGAGAGCAGAATCATTTTGAAGGGAAGCCAATTTTTGTCTGAAAATTGAAAAAAAAAGTTGGAAAAGGGACGGCGAGATTAGAAAAAAGTTTAGAATACAAAATCATAAGAAAACGGAGAATATTGGGGCGGCGAAAAATAAGGGAGGGAGGACTCTCATTCCACAGTCAACATTAAAGTATGCATGGGCGGGAAGAGGGAAAGAAGAAAAAAAAGAAGATGAGAAAAAAAAGAAATAAGGGACGAAGGACATTTGGTCTTGTTGCACGGGGTGAGATGGAGTGATTGAATTGTTTTATAAAGTTTTATTTTGCAAAAAAAAGAATTGGAAAAAGTTCAAATAGGTCACACGACAGATAGTGGGGAAAATAGCTAAAAATTATATATGTGCTCTGGAGGTCTGACTCAAAATGTCCTGAATCGTGAAGCTGACAGGTGTAACTCATTCATGTCTGATCACTCGAATAGTCATTCTTATTTCTTCGTAATTGTGCACAATTGTTCCGGTAGAAAAAGTACGATTGCATGATGTAAACGAATGTTCGATCACGGCTATTTTTGCTATCTGTTTTCACTAGTGACTCAAGTTTGTACTAGCATAAGCTTTAAGTGAAGCGTTGTACTGGGCTCAAATTTGGAGTGCAAAAATTCGAATAATTCATCGGTGAACTGTTCATGTTCCAATTTGTTTAATCAAATTTGAGCTGAGTTATCGCTTGTCAACGTTGCTTCATCTCATGAAAATCAACAGGAAACATTACGCCGTTCATATTTGAACAATCATAACAATACTTGAGAAATCGCCTTGAAGATTTCAGTAGCTTTGAATCAAACTTAAAATTAAATTTCTACCAATCTTCGTTCTTCCAAGATACTTATGTCTTAAGATATACCCGTTTTTATCAGTCCGGGTAATTGTGCTTATGTTGGAAATAAATGACAGTACTGCTCTTGGTTTTTTATTGACTATCACAACAAAAAGTTTGTTTGATAGTCGAACAAGGTTATTTGGTTCTAAATCTGGCACATTATATTTACAGCTGAAATCAGTGAAATGAAATAAATTTTCCGAGAAACCAACACCTATTTTCGACTTTCACCTCTGAAACCCTACCAAAAAATCTAAATATAAAAAAGAGAACATTGGAGACAATCAGATAAAAGGAAGAAGGAGAATTGGTATAGGGATCTGTGTTCTCGACCGGAAACCTGGAATGAAGAAGCCGTTTAATATGTCAAAGTGACAACATAAACACTTTGTTTTTTTTCTACGATCACTCAATTTGGGGAATAAAAAACAAGGAACACCGAAGAGAACAAAGTGTTTGGAATATTTAGTTTAGTAGTCATTTTGATGGATTATCAGTTGGAAAGGCAGAAGAGAATTTTAAAGAAGACACGGTGTTTGGGAAGATTTATTCTAGAAAATTATGTACCGACTCGAACAATTTTAAATGAAACTTTGATAAATGTTCCATCCTTTTCTTTTGCAAAAAAAAAACTCCTGACACGAAACCGAATTACGGACCTGTCCAATTGATGAAGTGCTTCTTCTATAAGCAAGGATTCAGAGAAGAGTGCATCGGAATTTGGACGGAAGACAGACAATTTAAATCGTATTCACACCTATTCAGAGGAAACGAAGAAGTCACGTCCACTAGTAGACTTCTCGGAAGACGACGTCGTTTTGTCGTCAGATGAAAGAAAAGGAAGACGCTGTGCGGGTTGAGGCAAAGACCGTGAGAATCAGGAAGTTTATTTTTGGATTTGGAAACTGAACGAAATGCAAATCAAAGGTAAAACAACAATGTTTCATTCGCGAACAAGAGCTCTGAAAGTCTAAACAGAATTTGAAAATTTTCTAGATGTTTTAATAAATGGAAATTCAAAAGTTCTAGTTAATAATGTCGAGAAATGCCCTATCTGAAGTATGAATTCTAAGGTGCATCAGAAATTTGCACTTTCAGATGAATTGTCAATTCATTTAGACTAGGGAGTCTGAATTGAATAAAAAGGACATTTAGACAGATGTTCGTTTTTTTATTCAAGAAAGATTTCTCATTAAAAATGGAAACCATAAAATATTTTTCATAAATCGGGAGTTCATGATCTATTTTAAAATGAGTAATTTGATTTTTCGGAAATATTCGGGATGAGAAAGAAATTTTAACAGTTCCTTCTTCTTGTTTTTTTTTCAACCACCATCATCTTCCCATTTTCAAACTTATTTCTGAAATCATAATCTTCTAAACATGACAAGATCAAGGAATTGTCCTCTGAGTCCTCTTGTCTTGTGATTTGAAAAGCCTTCGCAATAGCAATACAGGAACATGTATAAATAAAAAAAACCATGTTGAAAAATGAATGATGAGTTGCAGAGAGAAAAAACTGATCCACAAAGGACAAGATGAACATGGGTTGTCTAAGGAAAAGCATGAATGAGGTGAAAAAGAAAGAGATTCAGATTGAATTTGGGAGTGTGTGCAAATTGCGCCAATTACGTGTAAATTACAGAGAAAAGAGTAGAATGTGAAGAAGAAGAAAAAAAAGAAGGACTACATTGGGAAGAAAGGAACGTGACGTGGCAAAAGTAGCCAAATTCAGATGAGGCAACCAGAAATCGGAAAGATAGTCGGGTTGATAGAATCTATGGCTATTCTGTAACTTTTTGAACAGAACATTCTAGAAATTTCGTGTTCAAATCGGAGTGGAAAAGCTAGACTAACAGCCAGATTATATTCTACGGCTAGGAAATTCTGACTAAAAGCCTCTTCTATCCCACCCTCAATCCTAAAATCTTCACTTTTGAAGAATTATATGTCTCCTGAACAGACGCATACTTTTTAAAACATCTTCCGATCTTTACATTCGTATTCTCTAAAAGAACAATTGGAGAAGGAGGTAACTGCTCAGGAATCAAGAACCAAACTCAGCTGTTCACCAAAAAGTGTTGCCATTGTTTGGTTTTTGGAGGAGAGAAAGCAATTTTCAGTGCGGACAAAGAACAACTGGAACATGGGAATTCGATTAGAAAATATGTCGATGAATTTTCGGAATAATTTTTTGAAAACACAACCAGTCCAATCAACAGTTAATTAAGAATACCTAGTTTTGTAACGGTAGAACTTAAACTACAAATCGGAAATTACAAGTTGATCAATTTCATGTTCTAACAAATGCCTTCGTTATAGAATATATTGTCGTCATTATGATTCCCAAAGGCAGTGAAAAAGGGGAAAGAGTGGGAAACAAAGTTTATACTAGGAATAAATATAGTGTAGACATATGAGACCAATAAAACACGAGAGATAGGTCAAAGAGTGGAGGAAGCTGTTGTGTCAATTAACGGAGAGACTAAATGCATAATTGATAGAGGAAATGAAAAATAGGGAAGAGGGATCTGAAAACTAAGCTGATTCAAAATTAAATGACCTATTGAAAACACAGCGGTCTATTTACATCGCTGTAAAATATTCTGAGAACCAGGAACCAAACCAGCTCATCTATCCCAACAACTCCAAAAACAGAAAAAAAGAAACTCGAACGAAAATCAAGTCAATTCAGGCATAAATTTGGGTTGAGAAAAGAAGAAAAAAAGGAATTCTGGAGAAAAGAAAAAGAAGTAGAAGAAGGACAAAAACGACGGTCCAGAAGGCGTGAACAATCGAAGAAAAACCAATATTATTATTTTCAAGAAAAAAGAAGCAAAAGTAGAGAAAAATGAGAATAAAAAGAAAGAGTGAAGAGACGTTTTTCGGGTTACCAAGTTTTCAAGAGAAGCGGAATATTGCATGTCGTTTTGATGAACTATTTAGTGTTTTTCCGAACTTTTGGATGTTCGCATAGTTTCTGATCAGTCGAACGTTTTGCATTCTGAGAATAATGAAAATAAAAAATTAACAACAAGGAGAGAGTAAGAACTGAATAGAATAAAAAGATATACCTAGAGGATAGAGTTATGATTATGACCACAGAAGGGATGAACTCTAAGAATTTAGTGGGTCGGATAGTGACGGGACATACTAAAACACATTGGTGAGTCGGCGATGATCTAGAACGAGCTGAAGATCTAGAATTGAGCTGATGAATCATTATGAATTTGACTCACTACAAACGATACTTATCGTAAAACCTGTAATAGAAGTGCTCCTAAATTGTAACTTTAAGCCGATATCTCGGGTCCTTTCCAATATATTTAAAAGTTGTTTATTGATGAATTGTTTATTAGAATCTCACAAATATTTTTATCAATTGACATATTTTTAACACTTAGCACATGAGCCAAGAAAAGTTAGCTCAAACTTGAACCACTTAAACTTATTGGACTCCTGTCATGAGGAGTGTCAAGAGTTCAGTCATTTTTTGACAGGCTCCCCTTGGAAGAATGTGACAAGCATCAAAACGTTTCCAAAACGCGCCGACTTTACACTTCTCCTGTCAGAATGAACGTTGCAAGAGCAACGAATTGATGAGAAAAAAAACGAAGTTTCTGAAGGGATTGGTGAAGAATTTCAAGTGACATTATGATTGAGAAGAGCCGAGGATGTGAGAAAAAAGAAGAAGATTAGGAAAATTGGAAGAGTAAAGGTGGAAGGTTAGAGTTGATACTTGATATGTTCCAAACATTTTGGACTTGACAGCTGATCTCTCATGAGATGATTGGTAGGGAGAAATGACAAGTTGAAACCTTTCAAGAAACTCCTTGAGTAAACCAGAAGAGCAGAAGTTTAAAGTTAAGTAGTTGTGCAGGAGAAACGCCGATGTCCCTGGCTGAAGCACCGACAACGACAACTACCGTAACATAAAATTTTTTGTTTTCCAGATTTATTTTCTTGATGTTCGTGCGTTTCTAGTCATTTTTACCTAGAGAGAAACGCATAAATAAATACTGAAAATAAGCATTTTTTTGGTTACGGTAGTTATCCTTGAGGGGCCTTTGGCCACTGGCGTTTCTCTCCGTTTTTTGAAAGAGTGAGTGTAATAGATAGGCGCAATCTCTTCAGATTTATCTTTTT